AGGTGAAACCGTACAATAGAGGAATGAGGTGATAAACTTGAAAATAGTATAGATATAGATTGTTAGAGACATCATTAAGTGTTGTTTGATAAGGAGACGACTTTGGGGAAAAGCTGCCAAACAAAACAGTTTTTAGATGTCAAGGGTTGTATCGCTTGAGAAGGAGCCGATTCAGGGGAAAAGTCACCAAACAAAACAGATTTTGAGATGACGTAAGCAATATAACTATATATTCGAGAGATCCTAAAAGACACGCATGATTAACCGTTGGATTTTAATATATTTTTTCCTATAAAAAAAGATGACATCAGAAAGTACAAAACATAAGATTTTGCTATTATATATAGATAAAAAGATATATTCATATGATGATAAGACATGTTTACAAATTTTTACAATCTACTATAAATCATTATATTTTATGGTGAAATTATTTTCATTATGAGAAGATTCATTTTTATGTTGAAAATAAAAATCATTATGAAAATGCACCGTTATAAATTAAAAAAAAAAACTACTGAGTTTTTTTTTAAGATGATTTAGACACAATATTTCACATTTATTGAAATTCCTATTATTAATAGATTTACACATGTTTACAGACTATTATAAATCATTACATTTTTATGATGAAAAATATTTCATTTTGAGAAGTTACATTTTTATGATCATGAAAAGATGCATTTTTAGATATTTTAGAATACCAATGAAATTTGTAAGATGAGAAGACACAATTTTAAAACTAATTTTAATATTAAGAAACTCTATATATATAATCATTAACAAGTTCCATTTGTTTATCACTAGAAGTTGGTGTTGACAATCATAATTCAGATGGTTTTATTGAAATGAAAATATTTTATGAACCTATAAAATTAGTGATTCTTGAGATTCATAAATATAACTACATGTGTTGTAAAGATGAAGAGTTATCGCATACCACAAAAATACACCAAATGCTAAGATGTCGGCTGGAAATTGATATAAGGTAAGAAAATAATTGGCAATGTTTTTTAAGAAATAAAGATGGTGCTAAATCCCTTATATATTAAAAGAGAAGCATTTTGCATTAAATGTTTTCACACCACCTTCTCACAATTTATTACCTTATTTACTATCTTCTCACAATTTATTACCTTATTTACTACCTTCTCACAATATATTACCTTATTTACTTCAACAATTGTTTACCTTATTTACTTCAGTTATAAAACACACGAGATACTTTAAAACTACAAAGTTCAATATCGCGTGAGACAAGTTCGGAGGCAAGTGAATTGGCTTGAGGGTCGATGTCAAAGTTCTGGAACGTCGTTATTTGGGAAGTGGGACGTATCTAAGATGATGGATGTGAAGGGCAACGTACCGGAACCCATGAACGCGATCTTGGTTTGGACATGGCTC